CTGAGAGGGGACTCTGGCTCGCTGGGTTTGGCCCCTCTGCCAGCCGTGGAGTGGTGGGGAGGGGGCTCATGGCATTCTGGGGTGATGCTGGGCTTGTTCTCCCCCCCCCACAGCCACGTCCCCCTGCACTCGGCGCTGGACTACAGCGGTGAAGTCCACAGCAGCTCCCTGCGCTCCGTCTGCTTCTCCCCCGAGGGTCTCTACTTGGCCACGGTGGCTGATGACAGGTGAGTGAACCCCCTTGGGGACCTCCAGCGGGAAGAGGGTCCCAGGAGGATGCCACCAAAATGAACCAGGACGTGCCAGGGGGGAGCAGACCTTGTGCGCTACGTCCCCACCAGTGCTCAAGGAAAGAGACACTGTGGCTTGGCTGTGGCCAGGGGTGGCATAGTCAGGGCTGTGTCACCCCGCTGAGCGATGAGCCCATGTCCTCCTCCCTGCAGTGCCACCCTCGCACGGTCACTAGCTCCGTCTGTGTCCTGCTTGGCTCTGTAGGGGACAGTGCCTCCCGCCTCACTGCCATGTTCTGACCCTCCCGGCATGCTCTAAGCCCATGGGAGGAAAATCCCCAAAATCCCACTCCAGTTTGCATGCCTCCAGGAGACCCGAGAGGCTTTATTTCAGCTGCGGGCGCTGCGTGGGTGTGGGCCTGACATCACGTCCCCTCCCTTTCTCCATAGGCTCCTGAGGATCTGGGCGTTGGAGCTGCGGTCTCCGGTGGCCTTTGCTCCCATGACCAACGGTCTGTGCTGCATGTACTTCCCGCACGGCGGTTTCATCGCCACAGGGTGCGTATGCGGGAGAGGAGAGCGGAGAAACACGGGCTGCTTCCTCCTCCTGCGGCTCTGGGGCTGCTCAGAAAATTTGGAGTTTCTCTGGGTGGGGTTGCAGGCTGGTTTTCTGGGCTGGTTGCTGCAAGCTTGGGATATTTGGGGGAAGTTGAGCTTTCTGGAGTCCCTCTGCCCCGTGCTCACGGCTCGTTTGTGTCCTGTTGCAGAACCAGAGATGGCCACGTGCAATTCTGGACAGCTCCGAGGGTCCTCTCGTCACTCAAGCACTTGTGTCGCAAAGCTCTCCGCACTTTCCTGACAACGTACCAGGTCCTGGCGCTCCCCATTCCCAGGAAGCTGAAGGAATTCCTCACTTACCGGACATTTTAAGGCAAGGCGGAAAGCGGAGGCACAAAGGCGAGAGCCCTCTGCCCGGCGGCGGGGCTCGGCACGGGTCGGAGGAGGCACCACAGCAACGCCGTCTCGCCGATCCGTGAGCCGTGGGGCAGGAGGATTGCTGCTTCCCCTGGTTTGGGGCTGTCTGTGAACGTGGAGGGATTTTTTTTTGGTGTAATAATACTAGAACCCAGCACAAGCGCATGCAGAGGGCAAGGGGCACGGCTGCAGTGGCCCTGCGGGGGACACAGGTCCCCCTGTCCCCCTGCTGTCTGCAAGCGTTGGGTCAGGTGCTTTTGCTTCCAAGTGCAATGTTGTGGGTTGATGGTTCGCGGCCGCAGGCTGAGCGGAGCTTTTGTTGTTTGTACGAATACGGGGGGGCTACAAATGTCCCCGACAAAACCCACCCTCGCTGGGACCGGCTCGTGCTGGAGCTCAGTTCCCAGGGAGCTGCGGGCTTTGCCACTCTCCTGGTCTGGGTGTGAGCTGGACGAACCCGAGCGGGTCTCTGCAGGCGAGACAACAGCGCCGACAGAATAAAAGATGATTCCTCACAGCTTTCCTTGTGGCTGGGAGAGGGGACCGGGGAATACCCATCGGGGCAGGCTCCAGCAGCGGGGCCCAAGGCCTCCAGCCCTCCCAGCGTGGCTGTTGGGGTGGCAGTGGGTGCTCGCTCGGCTCTTGAAAACCAGTAAGCATTCAGCAGTGGGTACTGGGGAGGCTCTGGCCGCCGTGAAGGTGGGACGTGGGGCTTCCTGCCACGCCAGCCACTGTTCCTCCTTTGCTCTCTCTTCCACCCTGGTAAAAAACAGGAAGGGGTCCTGTGTGCTTGTCCCCCTCCAGATTAGCCTGTGTCTGAGGTGACAGCCCGTGCTCTGAGACCCCCACATGTGAGTGGGCTCAGAGCTCGAGGCTGCGACCCCAGCTGATGGAGAATTTGGGGAATATCTACCCTCAGCTGCTCCCTGGAATATTTTCCCCTTGTGCACAGCTGCCCCGAGAAAGCTGGTGTCTCCCAAACCCATACAGGTGTCACCCACAGCTGTGTTCCCTCTTGTGACGGGGGTGTCCCCATGAGACACCACACTGTCCCTGCACATCTTGCTGGGCACGGCTGCGTGAGCAACAGGGTGGCA